TTTCTTAAGCATGTCTTGTACTGGTACATCAATGCACAAGACATGAGGCCCCTATCAATGCAAACAGGTGCTTAAGTATTACCTGTGTCTTCATGCAACACCAAAACAATTCCAGCAACTTGTTTCAAAATTCCTACCTATTTTATGTTGTTTCTATGTGTTATATTGTTAGGATCGATTAAAGTGGGCTACTAATATGGATTAATATGCAATCAGATTTAGATCAAGATCTCACTACTTTAAATCTCCTTTGAATATATAGTCAAACACTTCACATAATCACATAAGAAGCATAAGCATAACTCTACAATAAGAGTTTCTCAAATGTCTATTCAAATCCCCAATCTATTATCCTATATTTCATGCTCTATTATAATCATCAAGAGCACAAAGATGATCAAATAAAGGTATAGAACAAACTAACCAAAGTGCTCAAGTTAAGGCTTATAGAGAACAAGTGAATTTACACCTTTAGAGCCTCATAAGCAAACCCAAACCTTATTGGAAAATTTGGATCAAGAATTGATTATTAGCATTGTAGAGAGAGAAAGCAATAGAGATATGATGGAGCAAGATAGCTTCACAATATATGATTAGGGTGTCCCTTGCAAGGCTATGGATGCACCCTTGGGCTCAAGGCACGTCCAAATGCTTAGTGAGAGAGAGGGAACAAGGATGTTGAGAGAGAATGCGAGGTGCACCACACCACAGTCCCCAAATCTTTCCTCAATATCTATGGCTCTCTTGCTTCAACGGGTAAATAAAAAGGAGTGGAGGAGCTTTTACGTGGTAAAATGGCCCAAGTAAAATAGGATATTTTGGTTATTAAAAAAAGGTAATAAAGTGGTTTTACTTATTTCAAAACTGCCCCTAAGGGCGTGGAGAAAACTCACGTTTAACATTCCTCCCCTACTATTTTTGACATGGTTTTGACTTAAATAAAACATCCATCCATTGAAACAAAAAGGTTTATCGTGATCACTTGAGTTGTACATCCTCAAGCGATCGATCTAACTACACATACAATCCACTCTCTCAATGGAATCAACCACACACTTCCCCATGCTCATCATAATCGTGACGTATTGCATGATCATCCACCACATCATGAACTTCATGTATATGCTTCTAGATCTACATAATCTCTCCACTAAGTATATAGAAACATTTAGTATTGGATAACCTCTGTTGTTATGCCACACATGCACCCATCACATGTGGTGCCATTTCATCGGTGCAGTGAGTCACCACAAAATCTCACAAAGGGATGCATCTCATTAAGAGATTCTCAATTGCCTGGATAACCACTAGCACATCACTTCCCTCTAACTAGGGATAGTGGCAAAACGTGTGCAAATGCACACTAGCTGGCGTTGGTTCGTGACTATATCCTTCCGAGGGATTTTCATCACATAATGAACCATTAAAGGTCATATTGTTCTTGGTGTTAATGCGTTGCCTAGTAGCTCCGGTGTCTACCCACCATTCATTGTGGGAGCTCACCACTATTGACTCTTCAACCACAAAGGAGAAGTCCTTGGAGCCACTACTTTGTCCAATATTCTTCTTCTTCGGTTCTGTACAAAATTTAGCAATATGACCAAACTTGTTACAATTATAGCACTTCTTAAACTTGTAGGATGGAAAGGTTTCTTAGAATTTTTATTAGGAACTTTGTTATCATTTTTCTTGGCCATTACTAAATAAGCTTGGTTTTTAGGTCTTTCACCTTTCTCTTTAATTCTATCATTCTCTTCCATCCTCAAATGTCCTCTAAGGTCATCCAAGGTATGGATTGTACCATTATGGCGCAAGTTCTTTTTCAAAGCTTTCCAAGAATTTGGAAGGTTCTCTATAATTTTCATATTTTGTTGATGCTCTCTTATGGGCTCACCATAACCATAATATTCATATCATCAAAATACTCTACCACCGATTGATCATCTTTAATCTTACACATATTGTATCTTTCATATAGCTCGCATTTAGCAATATAATTATCATCGGTGTGCCTTTTTTTTATGGAAACCCATAAGTCCTTAGCATTAGCATTCTTTTCAAATACTTTGTGCAACCTATTACTCAAATAATAGAGAAGACAAGATTGCTGCAAAACAATGATTAGCAAATAATCTAGAGAGAGAAACAATTGTGAGATGCAACACGGTGCAGAAATGTATCTTGTGACACTGGAGGGCTCCCATAAGAGATGAAGGCACGTCCCTTGTGCCTAGCTCACAAGGAAGCTTAAATGAGAGAAGATACTTTAGAGAGAGAGAGGGAGCTCCTGCAAAGGTTCCTTGGCCTCTTAAAACCCTTTCCTATATACAGCTACAAAAGGAAATATGAGAGAGATACTTATAGAGAGGCAATGGCCATGCGTTGCCTTTCAATGGCCACTTGTCCCTCTCTTCACATGCCTCTCCCTTTTTCTCTATAAAAGATATTAGTTCCCTTTAAAAATACATTTTAAGTGAGGCAGAAAAAGAAAATAAATAAAATAAAAATTGGGCCGTTTTTTTGCAAATATTTGGAAACACATTTTCTCTAACATCTACCTGGTGGTATGTTTGTCAGCATGAATTCTGGGATTTTGGTCTTCTGTATTTCAGAAACTAGGCATGCATGCATTTTTGTACTGGAAATGCATGCATGTCGATCTGGAGTGGACATTTTTCTATGTAATTTTACTCATAGGCACATCTTTATGTTTACAAGGGTGGCATATATCGGTTCATGTATACTTAGCTCACTTGTGTCTGTGCTACAGATGAGGTAGCTCCCTGCTAGTTTGCACCTAACAACTGTTTGGAATTGGTTGCTGATTTCCACCACACTTTTATCTAGTCTTGTCTGTTCAGATATGGCTACTCACCAACCTGTGTATGTTCTTGTTTTGTATAATAATTTGTCTTGGTAGAATGGGCATTGAAATACCTTTTTGGCATAGCTAAGAGGGCACAAAGAGGTTAATATCTTATGTGAGAAGAAATGGATGGCTTAAGCTGGGAAACTTGGAAATATAATGGAAGAGATATCTGAAAACCAATTCAAGTTGTTGGTCAAAACTGATTTTTTCTGATCAAACTAGTTATAGCTGCTTTGGTTTCTTTTTTTAATATAATTTACTTTATTTTCTGCTTTTTGAAAGAAACCGTGGTCAAAACGATGCCCATGATTTAAACAAATCACGTCCAAGTTAGCACATTTTTTTTAAAAAATAAAAAATCAGGTGCATTATCCAAGTGGGTGGAGTTGATTGATCCTACTCTTTGTGAACTATAGCAAGGGCTATTAAGTTTGAATCCTATTGTCTACTTATTAAAAAAAAATAAAAGAGGAATGAGTATTTGGCTTTTGCAATACCGTTATTCCTCGTAGAAGTGGGACGATGTCTACATTTTCTTGTGGCCATTGTGAAACCAGCGGTTGATGCATCAGGGTTGACAAGATAGAACTCCTCTTATTTTATCGAAGATGGAGGAAATAATGATGCCATATGTCTGTTTTCATTCTTGTTAGTTTTACAAAATATGCTTCTTGCTAGACTTGTTTACATGCTTGAGGAGCTGAGGAAGCATAGTGAGAGATGCTAGCCCATGGTGATCTATGCAAATGTTGAAAATGATACATGCAACATGTTGGATGGACATTAGTATTCTAAGTATGATTAAATAAGTAAATAAATAAATAAGGTGTTTTAGTTCCAATAATCTTGTACAATATTATTGTATTAGTTTAGAGGAGTGACATATTTGCCTTAGAAAATGATAAACTCTTCTGCATACCATAGTGGAGTTATCAAATTACCCAAAATCATATTAGTCTTTTTTGGCTATTCTCTCTCAACATGTTTCCTAGACTAGTGCACATGGAAAAGTACCTTCTAGACTCAACAAGTCAACTTGGCCTTAGTTGGCTTGATTAATTTATTTACGGTCAGGAGCCACAACTAGCCAGAGTCTTGGATGAGTCTCTTGGTCAAATAAAGACTCAGTGGACTCCTACTCAGATGAGTCCATGCATTATGCTTTCCTAGCATCAAGCCATAAATTGCAATAGGCCATTTGACTTCTTTGTTTTCTAGGCTTCGAAAATTCCTAAATAAAATTACAAGTATAGTTGCATTCCTCTTTTCATGCAGTTCAAATATTAGGTTCCATGTTGCATTGTTTCTACTAGGGTTCTTGGAGATGAATGATCACATGCGGTTCTTGGAGATGTTTGATCACATGCAAACACCTTTTGTTTGATTCATTGCATCATTTTGTGCATGTTCTTGTTTTGTTTACTTGCGCAAGTCTGAGCCTCAACTTTCTTCAGTGGCAACACTAAGTCTTGTGTTGGTAATCTATCTATGGGAGTGACTTTAAATTCGAGAATGCTTAAGACTTCTGATGGCAATTCCCATATTGGCAGTGCTCCATGAAATTCTGGACTGTATTTTTGGAACATGGACTGGGATAGCTTTTGCCCCCCCCCCTTTTTTACTGTGTAAGGTGTGAAGCTCAACTGTGGAGTATGGCCATGAATCCCTGATCACAAAACAGGTAACCATAATTTAGAACTCGGAAGCCAGAACCTCTTAGTTATTAATGGCATGCCTTGTCTGAAAGCTCATGTTGTGTGGTTTGGGAGTCGGAAGATGAACACATTTTGTGATTTGTCAAGTCCTTGCTGGAATCTTTACAAAATTTAAGCCGATATGGTATTATTTCTATACTTGCACTGAGACAATTATTATGGTATACATAGCATATGTGCGTGTACATGGATATATATATATATATTTTCTAATGATGTGCTTGTTCTCAATCATTTCAATATGTATGTACATCTGAAAGTTGTTAATATAGCAGATGCACTGCCTTTTTTGAATATGGAATGTCATTTCCATAAACTAGTTATGTCTTGGAAGATTCAGCATGATATTTCATTGAAATAGTTTCGTTGTAAACAACTGAGTTTGGTAGATTCATTCACTTGATGACAACCAACAGGTATCGTGCCATCACTAGTGCATACTATCGAGGGGCGGTTGGTGCACTGCTGGTCTATGATGTCACCCGCCACATAACATTTGAGAACGTGGAGAGGTGGCTCAAGGAGCTGCGCGACCACACTGATGCCAACATCGTGATCATGCTCGTGGGGAATAAGGCTGACCTTCGCCACCTGAGGGCTGTCTCCACCGAGGAAGGCAAGGCCTTTGCAGAGAGAGAGTCCACATATTTCATGGAGACATCAGCCTTGGAATCAACTAATGTTGAGAATGCCTTCACCGAGGTGCTCACACAAATATATCGAGTTGTAAGCAGGAAAGCCCTTGATGTTGGAGAAGATCCTGTGGCTGCGTCATCCTTGAAAGGCCAGACCATCAACATGGGTGGCAAGGATGATGTTTCTGCAGTGAAGAAAGTGGGCTGCTGCTCAACATAGCATCATCCTTGGCCAGACTAGGTAAGACAGTATGGGTCTTTTAGTGTTTATTACTCTTTTTGCATTGTAGGCCCTCCATACTTGTCTGTTGTGCAGAATTTTAAAATTTCTGGGCTTCCACAAATTGGGATCAGACTTCTGTTGGGAGCTGCCTTGCAAGGATGTATTTTGCTCCTCACTGATAGTAGTCTATATTTTATTTCGACCTCTTACTAAAGATAGGTCTTCGGAATTTTTTTTTTTTCGATGTATTATAAAATCCATTGGTACAAGTGCAAGTTGAACCCATCGTTGTTTGTCATGAAAGAGGGGCACAGAAGGAAATGTCCATTTTATTTGTCAATGCTTTTTAGATTTGTTTCCCCCCTTTGGCGAGCCTGCTTCCAAGCCAAAATATGGTTCCTGTATGATACAGGTGTGAGCATTGCTCCAGTGGCAGACTAGGCTGGGGATGTGATAAGGTGAAGGGTTTGCGGGATCAATCGTTTTTGGCTGGGAAACATATTCCATTGTGCTGCTGGATGACGATTTTCACAATCCCGTCCGTTTAAATGAATTTCCTCTACGTGAATATGTTAATGTAGGTTTTCTGCAAGGGCAAGTGAAGGTGCCATCAAGCTTTCCTTTGTTGGGAATGCATGGATCCCCATTTTTGGTTTTTTGAAGTGGGAAGCCTGTACACGTGGCTCAACCCATATATAAGCTTGTGGTTGTTATTCTCGGCTCTGATTTGAATGGACCTTTGAGATAGCTTTAGTCATATTGCCACATGTTAGCCTTTGTGTGTTTTGATCTTGATTGGACAATTCAAAGTATTTTATTTTTAATTTTTATTGTAGAAATCATTTAGACATTAAAGTTGGGCTCAACCCACATCTTTGGCCACCTAGAAATTTTTTTTGATAAAAATCGACCTAATTCATTTGCAGCTTGTAGGGATATTTTGGGTATTTTGTTTTTAAATTATTTTTTTTTTTTGTTTGGTGTGTCTCATAAAGAGTGGGAGCTTCTCAAATTGATATATACAAAAACCTAAAAATAAAACAATCTCATATCACATTATAACTGAAGCTATCCCAACTTCCATTTAGATCCGATGGTTGGATATAGCATTATGAAGATTTAAACAACATATATATATATATATATATATATATATATAGGGAAAAGTTTATATAAGGTTGCAACTTTAAAATGGAGAATCACAAATGTACTTCAAAAATCTATCGAAAATGTTGTTTTAATGTTAAAAAGCTCTCTAATCAATCATCTCGACAGCGAGATCTTTTAATATAAAAAAAAAATGTTTTTGAATTTAAGAAATAATGCATCTTGCAACACATTATCTATACTGTCCATTTTCAAGATTTTCATATATTTATAGATCAACTTGATTTTAACCATTTTTGAAATTTAAAATTTTCTAATTACGTATGAAAATAGATTTTAAGATAATACTAATAATTTTTTATAACAAAATTACATGTTATGATAAATTTTAAGGTGCGCTTTCATTAGATTGTTTAAGGTTGCAACCTTATAAAAACCACGCCC